TAGGCAGCCGCTGCTGCAGCTGCCACGGCAGCTGCAGCATCTTTCTTGGCAGCAAGGCAGGCTCGCATTGATAGTTTGGACAGGCATTTCCTGTTTTTGGAAAGGATTCGAGAGTGTGCCGGCCAGACCTCGAAAGTATCGGTGGGCAGTGCACGGCAATGCGAGGGATTGGGTTTGAGAGCGGCTTGAAAAGTTTCAGCTAATTATGCTCGTCCCACTCTCGAGTTGAGATGCCAGTTGTGCAACGTGGCAGGCACGAGTTGCCTCGAACTCCGGGCCCCCGCAGCCCGCGAAGGGCGGGGGGTGTAGCGGTGCCTCCGTGGGCGTGCCCCAGCTCGAACAGAATTTGTGTCATTTGGATCGCCTCCATACAAAGCACATCCGAAGTGCTGGGCCATAGCTGAGGTATCGGGAGCTGGATGACCATGAGTTGGGTGAATTCCTCAAGACTCGCGAGGCCAACATCACGGCGAAGGCCAGTTCACCATGTTTGCCACGTTCGGCTGTGTTTGGCCAAGGGTGCTAAGAGATCTGGAAGCCAGGAGCTTATGATGAAGCGGAATTTCGCGCCAGGATGAGTCGCGAGGACGAGGCCGTCACCCAACCAGGAGGCCTGAAACTTACTTGCGCAACAGGGGACATCTTGTAGAGTCGAGAAGTTACTGGCGACATCTTGAGATAATTACTCGCCTTATTCCCCTACGCCGCCCACCCGGACATTATGGTATATCATAGTATGCTATAGCAACGTTCATTATATTAACCAAAGAATATTGGTATATTGTAGTATGTTATGTTACATATCTTATTTATCATTATATATTATAGTATTGTGCAGCAATACTGAGGCCAATAGCGGCAATATGAATACCAACATTCATGTTGTGAAAGTCAAAAGCCCGATTGCTCAACCCCGTCTGTGTCAGGACGAACAGAGCAAGCCGATCGCCCTGGGGGAGGCCTGTATAGTGTATTAGGATATTATAGTTTGTTCTAACACTTTAAATAATACTACATATTGTATGTTATAGTATGTATTGTATGTTATCGTATGTCATAATTTGGCATAGTATGTTGTATTATGTTGTAGTAGCACGTTATATCATGTTATAGTACAGTACAGTCTAGTATAGTATAGTGTGATATAAGATAATGTAAAATATTATAACTACTACAATATATTACTGTATGATAGAGTATTCCAGTATACTATCGTATGGTGTAAGCCGTGCTTACAGGTCGCCAACCCCGCCTCCGACGAGATGCGAAGGCAGCAAGGGTGACGTTCCTTGACTTTTTGACGGAACCGTTATATGTAAGCGAAGTGACTCGTCCTATACTTGTTTTTTCATGTTGACAATGAGCTGCTACTGTGTGTCATAAAGTCACATAAAGTTGTCGTCGTTCTTCGTCATTTGTTCAACATTGCAGGTCAGCTCGGGGAAGATGTGGAAAAATGAGAAGAAGCTCAGCAAAATCGGGAGACATGTGCTTACGACAACGTTTAGGTAAACGGAACAAGTTAGAGGAACATTGACTCCAAGTTTGGGTTTTGCGTTGAACGCACTCATGGAATGCAACGAGTCTCAGAAACCCACGTGTGGTTTGTTTATTTGTGAGACGTCCTGGCAGGCTGCCGGCGCCGCTCCACGTCAGCCCCGGCTCGTCTTTGCGTCCCGGCTAAAAGCCTTCATTGTTGCAGTTTGGACACAGTGCTTTGTCCTGAACTGATTCATGACGCGGCCTTAGTGCTTTACCATCAAATGGCTAGGCTGAGAAGGTGGCTTGCTACGCCCACTGACCGTTCAGCCCCGCGAAACCCTAAACCTATTTGCCCGGTGGATGCAAAGGGGTCGATCCGGCCGAAGTTTGTCGTTTCCATACGTCGTCTACAAAGTTGTAACTCGAGAGTTGTGTGTTTCATGATTGCACGAGGCACAGCGCCACTTGTGAATGCGGTGCTGGCCTCGGCGGAGGTTGGATGATGTTTGCCCAAGGATAGAGCCGTGGGTCCTGGCCAAGATTCCGTCAGAGCATCCAGGCCTTCTCCGAGCTTCCGCAGCCGTGGAACGTGAGGGACAACTCGTGCATCCGGCTCCTTGGCTCTAGGCTCAGTGAAAGGGTTGCGCAGCAAGGGCAAGGCTTGTGTCACGCGGCTGGGACCCAGGGGCTAAGATCCGGGACATGCAGACCGGCCTTACACTCAGAGCCGTGAGAGATCGTGAGAGGTTCCGCTGCGTCTTGGAAGGGCATTGAAAAGTGAGGCCTGCAGAGCAACCTCTCCGCCATCTACGGCGGCGTCGACTTTGGCAGCGGCCTCGATTCGAGGGAAGACGCAGCCGGGACCCGGCTGCTTCCGCCTGAGGCCTGGACCGCTTCCAGCTGGGGCAGCACACGGCCCTGCGGGGTGCCGCGCTGCCCCAGGCGCGCCGCTGCTGGGTCAGCGCCCCAGATGCAGGAACTTCGGGCAAAGATCCCAGAGTCCGACCGGGAGTTTCGCTGCGTGGCTGCAGTTGGCTACTCCTCAAGCTTGACCCCAGCTCAGGAGCTGCCTTGGCCCAGCCTGGCCGCTTTGACATCACGGGAGTGCGCGCCTGTACCTTCCACGACAGAGCGGTGAGTGGAAAGCGAAAGAAGCCGCTGTGCCTCCAGTCGGCCTATGCCGGGGGCTCGGGGAACGCATGACTGCGAGCAGTACTGCGAGCCGCAACGGAGCTGATGGTGGAGCCGGAAAGAGCCGAATAGATCTCAAGGTTCGTGCCGCACCGCTTCCGGCTCACCAATCCCCAGGCCTCCAGCACGTCTGAAGATGCCGCTTCCCTGACGCGACTCGACCGGTCTGCAAAGCAAGCCGTGACCTGTGCAGGTGTGGACCCGGCTCTGGACAAGTTCGACCTCTCCGCCCCTGAGCGCTTTGCCAACTCTCTGCCAGCCTGCAGTGGGGTTGCCCAGAAAGGATGGCTTGCCACCGCCCAAGCACTATGCTGGTGCTCTCGTGTAAGAACTACAGCCCCCTTCCCATTCCTTCCCGGCCATCATGAATAAACGAGGTTTTTCTGAAAGCAAACCCCTGCGAGGCCTGACCCACCCAGATGCCTGAAACGTGTTCGAAGCTGCGTGTATATCACGTGCTTCGGTTGCATCGGAAGGGAACCCAAAGCTTGAGCTGATTCTGACGTTTGGCCAAGGTGCACAGTCCGACTCCGTGAGGGCCGTGTCACTCTGGGGAAGGCGCCTTGACATCGGGCTTTTGTTCCGGAGTCAGCAGAAACCACGCACACGACCCGCCAGGCTTTCTCGAAGAATCTTCAAGAGGAGGGGCACGCTGACAGATGCATAGGGCAGGGATGCAAGGTGTCTGTGCTCAGGAAGCTGGCAGGATTCACAGACGAAGTTGGAAGGTCTGCCTGCCGTGCAGCATGCACCCTGCCAGGACTCCCGTGAGAACTTGAAGCCGGAGGATGCGAAGCTGCTCCAGCCAGGGCCACAGCATCTCAAAGAAGTCTCCAGTGATTCTTCCCATTTCTTCTCGATGCCAATTTATTTCAAATCGCCAAAGTTATTCTAGCTAGCTGAAGCCACGTCTGCACAAACTGCCAGGACAGGAAGCGCTACGCCAAGGACATCTTCGCGCTGGTCTCGCTGAGGAGTCTTAACCTCTCGAGCAGGCAGGGATCTTTCGCTCTCAAGGGCTTCCGATGCGATTAGACCGAGTTGTTTGGCCAGGCGCTTCGCCAGCCGTGCCTATCTCTACCCGTCCAACCCCAAGCGCAGCAAGGAGTTCAGGACCCGCTCCTGCGTCCATCGATG